ACCCCCAGGCACATCACTGGGGAAATGATTCCCTCTTCACCTCTGCTCTGAGTACTATTTGAAATACATCTATGAGCTGCTGAGCTGATCAAGCCCTGCAGACATTCTCTGCCCAGGGAGAGTTTCATACAACTGACTACAGAACTCAGACTGTGCACATCAGAGTAGCAGGAAGAGAGGTCATTTCAGACCCACAGAGGAAAAGCATGTAAATTCAAAAATTACTCCTAAATGTGCTGGTAAGAACTTTCAGACCACAGATTTTTACTCCAAACCTCATAAGCACTGTACCACTCAGGAAGAAATGGACCTTTCACAGTCCCTCAGTCCCTGAGTCTGCCAGTGCCCCAGGGCCTTTGCACTCACTGTCCCCTCCCTTCTGCACAGCTGGCTCTTGGTCCTTTGGGTCTCAGTGCACAGGGCATCTCCCAGGGAGGCCTCCCCTGGCCCCATCTGTGGGGCCCCATAGCAGGAGTCCCTGCTATCACCCCAGCACTTAGAAATGAGCCCACACCCCAGGAGGTCCTCATAGTGTAGGCTAGATCTTCACATCCAAAAACATAAAGACTGGAATGTAAAATAACTCATTAAGTATTCTTTTATCCCAAGGTTTAAATAAAAAGAGTGGGAAATCACCTTTCCCTCAGTGTGGCCCGCGGCAGAGGGGAGTGGCAGAGCCTCTGAGCCTCACCTCAGGAAAAGGCTAACAGAAGTTCTGGCCTCCCCCTAAGCTTCTGAGAAAGTTTCAAAACTACAGAGGGTGAACAACTCACACATCTGTCACCTGTATCCACCAGCCCCTCACATTTTGCCATGCTTGCTCTCCCCCTTTGCGCACACACACGTTTATTTTCCCGATCCATTTCAGAGCCATGGGCCCCAAGACAAGCACTTTCTCCACATAATCACAAGCCTCCCGCTCAGGAAAAATACTGATGAAACTGACAGAATACTGCTATCTAATAAGCACAGTCACAATCCCTCAACATCCTAATAATGTCTTATAGTTTTTTACATTCAAGACCTATATAACACGTTACTTGTGATGTCTCTTTAGCCTTCTTCAATTCATTAGTTTTAACCACATGTAATGGCTGAGATTCAACCATTTCTGACCTACAAAGATGATGTCACATGGTCCCACTCAAGAGAGCGGTCCCCAGGTTCTGGATGAAAAGGATCTTCAGGGATACCTGGGTGGCTCAGTCAGTTAAGCATCTGCCTTCAGCTCAGGTTATGATCCTAGGGTCCTGGGCTCAAGCCCCATGTCAGGCTCCCTGCTGAGCTGGCAGCCTGCTTCTCTCTCTCCCTTTGCCCCTCTCCCTGCTTATGTTCAGTCTGACAAATAAACAAATCTTTAAGGAAAAAAAAAAAAGAAAGAAAGAAAAGGATCTTCACCGGCCTCTCCCTTTACAGTGGACCCTTTTTCTGATCAGCATGCTGAGTCCAGCCCTATGATTCCATTTCAATGCTCAAAGTATCCCTGACGTGTCCAAAGCATCCCCAGCTCGTCCTGGGCTGTCCCTGCCTGCCCAGTCCTGGGATCACCACTCTCAAAGGAGCCCACTCCACACCTGCAGAGAGAAGCCAGGGTGTGACGGCTTTTCTCTCCAAAAACATAAAAGCTGGAATGTGACGGGGGGCTCAATCCAAAAACCAGGATACATCACAGGACAATGACCTAGACTAAACCCCAGCTCAGGGGCATGAAAGGAAGAGGGAGGGGCTGCCCTGGAGAGCAGGACCAGGAGACAAGACAATCACATTAACGCTGGACCTCACAGGGGACCAGACCAAGCCAAGACATTTTCTGACGAGTGAAGAATCTGATTGTGGAGAAAGAGAAGCCCCACGGATTAGACGATCCCAAAAAACTGTTGGTGCTGTTCATGTGACAACAACAGTACTATGACAGAAAGATGCCTTTTGTTTCTAGAAATGCATACTAAACATGGTAAGTCAAAATGACTGGGTATCACTAACTCATATGGCTCAACCTCAGAAGGAAGGGTGAAAATGACAAGTTGGATTTGCTTTAGAACTCTTCGGCAATGAAAAGAAAGGGGGAGAAGAAAATCTTCACAACTGCTGAATTGAGGAGATGGATGGTCAGGGTTTGTTTTATTTACCGAGAATTCATAACCAACATTTTTACACAATACGGATGGACGAAGTGGCCTCCTGGGATCTGGGTTAACTCTGTGGAGCCATGCACTCAAAAAGAGTAATGGAAAACAAGCACAGCTCTGACCAAACACCTTCCAATCCAGGATAAGGAGAGCCACCTCCCCAGATTCACTGGCAGCTGAGTTCTGCAAGGAGCTAAGCAGACAAGAAGGTGCCGTCCTCAGTTGTGACAAATGGCTGCCCACCAAGTTCAGCAAGCAGCCTATGTCTAGAAGCCATCCTGGCAACAGTCTGCAGGGATCCTAAGAAGCCTGGCTTGGCTCGGTAGTCCAGCTCACAAGGTGCTACCAGACCAACATATATATAAATGGCACAACGACCCATGGGGTCCCAGGACCCAGCATCCTGGTGTTTATCAAAGGAAGTAGGGTTCTGCTCTCAAGGAAAGCTCCTCTGGCAAGAAGAGTTCAAAGCCCCCGAGAACATGACCCTGAGACTTGGAAAGAAACATCGAACACTCAGCCAGACTCACTGCCCTTTTGCACCTTCCAGGCCACACTCTGTTCTGGGTCCCACTGAGCAGAGCAAGGTGTCATGACCCTTCTCTGTGGTCAGGACTATCACACACCACTGAAAGACCACACTGCCACCCTGCCAGGGCGACAACCCCAACTGCCCCTCAGCTGAGAGCCACTGCAGAAGCATCTGCCCCCTCCAGCCTCCGTGCATGCTACTCTGCTGGGGCCTCTTGCCCTTCCTCTTAGGGCAGGGCCTCCAAAGGCTCTGCTAACCAGCACCACCCCCACCCATACCTCCCATCAGAGGGGAGCCCTGCCTCACCCTTGGGGGATCATTGGCCCTGATGAAAACCACGGACAGGAACGCATGTCTGCTCCAGCCATAATTCCTCTGAGGACTCAGGGCCAACAGGGTATCCAGTGCAGTGAACACATCCCAGGAGGAGTGGCCACTCTGGCCGCCTGGTACTGTGGCAGCTCACACACTCATGGGTACACACACGCACTAGTGCGCACAGGCACATGTCTGAGCACCATGCACTCTGCCTGAACTCCCCTCTGGCCTCGTCCACACTCTGCCAGGTCTACCTGCCATCTAAGGGCCATTCCTCTCAACTGAGGTCACGGCACCCTCCAGCAGCTCCATGAGGCTCCAGGATCCAGTCCGAGCCCCGTGGCATGGCATACCAGCCTGTGCCTACATCCACTCTCCCTCTACCCCAAGCCAAGTGTAGTGTCCCATGCCCACCCCTCTGCCTAGCAAACATGCCTTCCTGAACAACTCGAGGACCACTACTCACAAAGGCTTTCCCTGTGCAGGACAAACCACTCCCTCTTCTGGGCCCTCATAATCCCTAAGGTCAACTGCAGTTTGGGCAGCACCTGTCATTTCTAACAAAACAGTTACAGATGGTAAAGGATTCACTTTGACCCCCAGCGCTCAGAGAGCACAGCAAGGCAAGGAAGCAGGAATTGCTGAGAGGGCCAAGAGCCAAGGACCAGGCCGAAGAGGTTGGCCTGACAGCCTGTACAGTGGGGACAAAAGGAAACATGAACAGATATATGAGGGCTCCCAGGCTCACCCTGAAGGCAGTGTGGCCAGGCCTCAGTTCCTGACTCTGAACTCAAGTGGAGGGCCCAGCACAAGGGTGGTGAATCTCCCCAACATGTGACCGGGAGTAGCTGAGCATGGGGTCACTCCATTTCCCTACATTAGAGCTGCTGAAGAGACACTACAAAGATTAACAGGAGCAAAAATGAAGGAGAAGGAAACAAAAAGAAGAGTGAAGGAGAATCAAAGACAATGAACAACTGTGGGACGATCGAACAACTCCCCAAATTTACTATGAAACACTGAATTGCACACATACAAACAAGAGACTCTACAGTATGTGATCATACCTCAATAAAGCTATTAGAAGAAATGCCTCCTTTTCTTTCGTTGTGAGAGCTGGAAAGAGAACTTTTTTAGTTAATACTGATATTGTACTAGTGTTAACTTTGCCCCCAATCATACTGAATCTGGGTTAAGAAATTAGGGTAAATAAGGTAAGAAGTCATTTCACTTATGTGACCGACACATAAACCCTTTCTCTCCCCTGATTGCCCAGAGAGTCCTAACCATTTGGAAACAAACCCACGAAATCCAATAAGAGGAAAGTGCCGGACAAACACTTGCCAGAGCTCCTGCAAGGTTACCAGCGTCTTATCGCCAATTTTCTCAAGGTGTGCTTATATCACAGCTGAACTGAGTGTTCACAAAACCAGATGGAAAAAGTCCCACTCAAATTTTAAACTCACCACTTTCCAGAACCCCTGGACTGTATCGAACCCGTTCCTCCTCTTCATAAGCTACAGGCCAGTAAGCAGAAGATGATCTGTTTACCTGGCTGATCATGAATATGTCAGGACAGACTTCCATGATGAATTCTGAAGGCAGCCAGGACTATGGTTTTGAAGACTAGGTAGCAACTCTTTAGCCAAGTATCTTACTACTAAATAGGAAAAAGAAGCCCAAGTGTATGTACACAAGACTACAACTGATGGGGCCACCAGGCTGGCTCAGTTGGTAGAATAAGCAACTCTTCATCTCAGGGACATGAGTTGAAGCCCCACGCTGGATATGGAGCCTACTTAAAAAAGACTACAGGGCGCCTGGGTGGCTCAGTTGGTTAAGCAACTGCCTTCGGCTCAGGTCATGATCCTGGTCGAGTCCCGCATCCGGCTCCCTGCTCAGCAGGGAGTCTGCTTCTCCCTCTGACCCTATCCCCTCTCATGTGCTCTCTCTCTCTCAATCTCTCTCTCAAATAAATAAATAAAATCTTTAAAAAAAAAAAAAAAAGACTACACCTGATGCGGAGCCTCTGTTTATCTGTTTACCTGTCATGGCCACTGGCATTGTTTCCAGTCTGGGGCTCTCATGAATGAAGCAGCTATAAACGCTCAGAACAGCCTCACGTGGGGAAAACCGCCTTTGTTTCTCTGCTGGGCCACAGTAGTGGGTGTGAACCATTCCACCCAGCAAGGTATGAAAGTTCCAAGTGGTTTTCCATCCAGCCTTTTAAAAAATTTGAGCCACTCTTGAGTGGGCAGTGATATCTGTGTGGTCTTTCTTTTAAGTTTCACTGGGGTATAACTGACATACAATAAACAGTGCAGGTTTAAAGTGTACAATTTTACAAACTGACATACATCAATATATGTAAACACCCACAATCAAGATAATGAATACATCCATCACCAAGTCTCCTTATGCCCTTTGTCATCCCTTCCTTTTTTTCCTTCCTCCCCCAACCACTGATCTGCTTTCTATTACTATTAGTTAGCTAGCACTTTCTAGAGCTTTATATGAACAGAATCACAGAGTATATACTCTTTTTTTGTCAGAGTGCTTCTTTTACTCAGCGTAATTATTCTGAGATGCATCCATATCATTGTGTGTATCAACAGTTCATTCCTTTTTTTTTTTTTTAAGCCGGGTAGTGTTCCCAACTTAGATTTTTACCATAGTTCCCATATTTGAAGAAAACATGACAATAGCGACCATCAAAAGGAAATATTCAACTAGGCAGGCCAGAAGGTTTGTTAACACCAGCTATTATGCAAAGCGCTTCTGAAATTACCTTTCCCTGCCCTTTGAGGGGTGGGGGAATGGCCCAGGAAAGATTCAGATAAGCAAAAGAAAATGGTCCCTTGTAGCTTAAGGACATTTGGCAGGACTATGTCAGCACTTTTCATCCCAGGATCTCAAGGGCTTTAAGAAATACCAGTTTTATTTCATATATAAGAAAACAAATGTTACTTGAACTGACTCAGAGCTCAGCAGGAGTCACCCTTGCCTGCCATTCTCCTACTCTGGCAGGTACACATATTCTGCCTCTAAACAAACTTTCAGGTAAAACCAACTGAACAAAACTGGTATCAAATGTGGTTGCACGTCCGGAAACAGTGTGGCAGCTCCTGGAAGGGCTACACACAGAGCTCCCACACAACCCAGCAATCTCACCTACAGCCACACAGAAACTTGCACACGGATGTTCACAGCAGCATTGTTTATAACAGCTACAAGTGGAAACAACCCAAACATCCACCAACAGACAAGTGGATAAACAAATTGTGGTCTGTCTGTACTGTGAAATATTATTCAGTCACAGAAAGAAAAGGGAGTAGATACATGTTACAACATGGCTGAACCTTGAAAACATGCTCAGTGAAAGAAGCCAGACACAGAAGACCACACATGGTCATTTATATCAAATGTCCACAGTAGATTAACCTGAGACATTAAGATTAGTGGTTGCCTGGGGTTGGAGAAAGCAGAACCAACAGGCTAAGAGGTGTGGGGTTTCTTTTTAGGGTGAGGAAACTGTCCAAAAATTGATTATGGAGAAGGCTGCACACCTGTGAATATACTAAGAGGTACTGAACTGTACACTCTAAATGGGCAAACCGTACGGTCTATGAATTCTATCTCAAGAAAGCTGTGAAACAGGGGTGGCTGCACAGCATTTGATAAGTCACAGCCACTCACCCAATAAGATAAAATCAAAAGGCATTCAAAATGGGTTTTTTGAGTCTTTCTGAAAGCCCCATCATACAGTTAGCTACAGAGCCAACTCCCAAGGACAAATAAGAAAAACCCCAAATGCTGTAGGCAGCCAAAACCACCACCTGGTCCAGGAGATAATCAACTTTTTTCTACTTCCCAATTCTATTCAGACTTTCCTGCCCCCAAATTCAGGGCCTTCTCTTGCGATACAAAGGATATTACTCCCAATTCCCAAACACAAAACTTAGGCTACAGGTGAGTGGGTCATCAGAGTTAATTAAAGGCAAGGAAGGACAGACCCTTTTGATGTCATCAGAACTCAAGTGAGCTCAACTGCAACATCTACCTTTGGTGGAGAGTTTTAAGGCTCTTATTTTATACAGCTCAGTGTCCAGGTGCAGAAAAATAGATTATTTCAACTTAAAGAGAAGGACACACCCTGCAATTAATTGCAAACGGAATGCAAGGAACAAAACTAGAAGTCAGAGCTGCTGTATTATACTACAGTTTAAAAAGAATTTGCAATAAAACAATCACCTTTCCCAATCCTGAGCTGCCATGAATCATGACACACTGCTCAACTGAGAAATCTTTCTCCTCAGCCTTCTGGACACACTGGACACAAGTTATAGACAGCACTTATCTAATCCATCTGAACATAAGTCCAGATTTCATCTATGTTCAAAAGTAACAAAAATAAAACTCCTTATACCCCCTTTTTACAGCTGTGGAAACAGAGAAGTCTACAGAGTATGGGAAACTACAGGTGTTAATATGAGCCTCCAACAGCTCATTCATTTCTCCAGGCAAACTCTTCCAGTCTCTACCTTCCTCCACCATATGTACACCAAACTGAAAAAACATACATACTTGTGCACCTGTTCTCCCTGATGCTCCGCCCATCAGGCGTCTATTTTTAAGGAATCTGGGGTTAGAATGAGTCAAATGTTTTCTGCTTCTATTAGGGGCTAAAAGAAAATCCAAGTGGGTGGTCTACCCACGGGAGTGACTCAATCAACTAGAATGCAAGCCCTCCTCCCCCAAGGACAGAGTCTGAGCTCACTCTGGCTGAGATGGGGTGGCTCCCCCAGCCCTGACAGTGGGTCCTCATGCCAAGGGACCCCTGTGACAAGGGATCCCAGCCCAAGACCCCAGCCAGTCCTCTCTGCCACTTCAGGGCAGGGACCTAGGTTCAAGAAGTGTGAGCGTGACACTTCCCGTAACACAACCCAAACTTAAAATACCTAAGTAGCTTTCCCTAAACATTCACATCATTGAAAACAAAATTTTCCAACGTGGCAGTACCACTTATGTAAAACCCGCTATCACTGCCCCGCTTGAGGAACAAACTCAAACCTAACTTTTCCAAGGCAGGGCTGTGGAATTACATAACACGTCGGTTTCAGCAACAGGCAATGTAAGGAGGAAAAACAAAACGCAACCTGACTCTTGAATAATCTTGTAACAGCCAGCGAGTATGGGATTCTCCCCTGGAGGCAAAAATTCCGTTTCTGCTCCGGGAGCTTCGACCCTCCCCTCTCCAGCGTCCCAGGGCCCGGGGAAACTTGAACCCGCGGCTCAGTAGGCATGATTAGGGGGGCGGGGGGGTGGGGCAGGGAGGACGGATCGGCCAGAGGGGGTACGGGGACAGATCACCACCCCGCGAGCTGGCTTGAGCAGGACACGGACCCAGCAGGAGGGAAACTCGGAGACAGGTCACCCCCGACCTGGCTAGGCACGGACCGAGAGCAGGTCACCTCGGACACGCCCGGAAGGGACTTCGGGCAGGTGACCTAAGACGCGGCCTGAGATAGATTCTGAGCAAATCGCACAGACCCAACTAGAGCCGGACTCGAAAAAGGTCTCCCCGGGCCCGGCTGGAGACCGAGAACCGAGGCAGGTTACTCCGGACCCGGCCGGAATTGCGGGACCCGGGGAAGGTCAGCCCGGGCCGGGCCTGAGTGGGGAACCAGGGACAGGTTACTCCGAACCCGGCCAGAGTGCGGGACCCGGGGCAGGTTCCCAGGCGCCGAGGCCCGGCCCGGGCTTCCGGCGCCGCCATGTGCCGCTCACCTGCGCGTCCAGCTGTCCGGCCGCAGAGCCCGCGCCCGCGCCGACCGGGCCGCCCGCGCCACCTCCTCCGGGGCCGCCGGGGCCCCCCGGGGGCGTCTGCGTCTGGCTGGGGAGGGTGAAGTCGGTGAACTCGAACTCCGAGCCCTGTGTGTCGGCGCCGAGCAGCTCGGCTTCCTCGGTGTCCAGGAAGGTGAGCGTCTGGGAACTGGGCCCGTACGCCTCCACGCTCATGGTGCCGCCGAGTAGGGCCCTCAGGCCGGCTCCGCGCCGCACTCGAGCCCGCCGCCGCGCTGAGGCCTAGGCCGCAGGCCTCGGGCCGCCGCCGCCGCCGCGCCCACGCTCCTGAACCGGACTGAAACGCCCGCCGCGGCGCGAGCCGGGCCAAGAGCCACGCGTGCCGAGCCGCCGCCGCTGCCACTGAGCCCCTCAGCGCCGCTGCTCCCCTCGGAGCCGCCCGCCGCTCGCAGCCCCCGGCAGGAACCGCCGCCGCCGCCGTGCGCGTGCGCGAGCCCGACGCCGGCGCAGGTGCGCGTGCGCGAGCCCGACCCCGGCGCAGGCGCGCGCGCTCCTCGCGGACGCCTCCAACCGCGCCCGGACGCCCGCAGCCGAGCGGGCCGGTGGAACACTCAGCGCGCACGCGCGGGAGGCGGGGGTTTTAACCGCCGTCGCGGCGGCTGCACGAGGACGTGGTCCCGCCCCAACCGCTGCCCAGTGGCGCCCGGCGGCGTGACCGAGATGGTTGCTTCCGTGGGGGTGGCGAGAGTGCCTCAGGTTAATTGAGCACTATCTGGTTGCTTTACAAAGGTGGTCTCGGAACAACCAGTTGAGAAAGCTGGGCAGGGACGATGTACCTCCATCTCTGGGAGAAGCTCCCTGGGCCTCAATTTCCCCATCTGTAAAATGGGGTTGCCTGGCACAGAACGGGTGCTCCGTATTAATTGGTTGAATAAAGGAATGGGGACAGTCCTTAGCACGGAGTTTGGCACAGGGCAATGGTGATGGCTGCTGCTTTGGACGATAATCATAACAATAATGTTAATTATTAATAATTTCATTAGCTATAATAACGATATATTGTAATTATTAATTACACTAATTATAATCACATAATTTTTAATCTTATTCAGAGGCAGTATATAGCAAAGTGATTGGGAGCACTTGCTCTGGGGTGAAATCCAGACCTGGACACCTGCCAGCTGTGTGACTTTGCACACGTGACTTCACCTCTCAGGGCCTAGAGTTTCCTCTCCTGGGAGAGGGAAATACCATCCATTAAGATGGGATGAAGAGGGGCGCCTGGCTGGCTCAGTGGGTGGAGCCTCTCACTGGATCTCCAGGTTGTGAGTTCGAGCCCCATGTTGGGTGTAGAGATTGCTTTAAAAAATAATATAAAAAAAATGAGATGAAGAATACATGAATTACTATTCACTCCCTTAAGTATTTATAAAGGAAAATTCCACATGGACAGAGGTTGGCTTTGTTCACAGCACAGTCTTTCCCAAGGGGAGAATAATGCCCCCACGCACTAAGTGCTCAGTAAACGTTTGTTCAAGTTCAGCTACTGGTTTATGAACTTAACTCCAAGCCTCAGCTTCCTTTTTTATTTTTTATTTTTATTTTTATTTTTTTTTAGATTTTATTTATTTATTTGACAGAGAGAGACATAGCGAGAGAGGGAACACAAGCAGGGGGAGTGGGAGAGGGAGAAGCAGGCTTCCCCGTGGAGCAGGGAGCCCAATGTGTGGCTCGATCCCAGGACCCTGGGATCACGACCTGAGCTGAAGGCAGACGCTTAACGACTGAGCCACCCAGGCGCCCCTCAGCTTCCTTTTTTATATAGCAACTCAGAGAACCTCCCCACCTCCACTTCCCTTTTTGTCACAATATTCTGGGGCCCTATAAATACTTGAAGTTCACAGGGCTCCTGGTTTGCACGGCTACACTAAAAGTTCCTGATCCTGCATGGTTCCTCATTTTCCAATATTCCTGTCACTACATTGATAAGAGTTTCCTTTTTCTTTCTTTACATCTTTTCTGGCCTCCTACCATGCATTAAAATGTGGGAATATAGAAATTAAATAATTAGGTCCCCAGGAAGACACAGTTTAAGAGGAAATTCCAACAAACCAATAGATGGTTTCAATAAAACACAAAGCGCTCTTTGGAAAATATTCAACTGAACTGATAGAAGCATTTAAAACCAATCTAGTAACACCTATCAGAGTTTTAAACACCTCCTCCTCCTCTCCTTTGACCTAGCCATTCCACTTCTAAGGAGTTCCTCCTTATTTTCTACGTACAGTCACATTTGCAAAATGCCATTTTGGATGATACACTAAAACATTATCTATTTAACACAAAAAAAGTTGGTAATGGAATTGTGGGGAGAAAAGACACAGGCACATAGAAAATAAACAGCAACATGGCAGAAATAAGTCCCTATTCGTAATTACTTAAATGTAAATAGATTAAACTCTTCACTTACAAGGCAGAGATTGTCAGATGGATTAAAAAAAAAATGATCCGACTAGGGGTGCCTGAGTGGCTCAGTCGCTTAAGTGTCTGCCTTTGGCTCAGGTCATGATCTCAGGGTCCCTGCTTCTCCCTTTCCCTCTGCCCCTCCCCCTGCTCATGCTCTCTCTCTCTCTCTTTCTCTCTCTCTCTCTCAAATAAAATCTTTTTAAAAAATGATCCAGCTGGGGCACCTGGGTGGCTCAGTCGTTAAGCGTCTGCCTTCGGCTCAGGTCATGATCCCAGGGTCCTGGGATGGAGTCCCACATCAGGCTCCCTGCTCCGCGGGAAGCCTGCTTCTCCCTCTCCCACTCCCCCTGCTTGTGTTCCTCTCTCACTGTGTCTCTCTCTGTCAAATAAATAAAATCTTAACAAAAAAAAAAATGATCCACAAGAGACCCAGTTTAGACTCAAAAACACAAATAGGTTGGAAGTAGAGGGATAGAAAGAGATAGTCCATGCAAACAACAACAAAAAGAGAGCTGGATTGGCTATATTAATATCAGATAAAATAAACGTTAAGACAAAAATTATTACTCAAGACAAAGAACATTATATAATGACAAAAGTTTCAATCTATTAAGAAGATACAATAATTATTGGGATGTCTGGGTGGCTCAGTCGTTAAGTGCCTGCCTTCGGCTCAGGTCATGATCCCAGGGTCCTGGGATCCAGCCCCGCATCGGGCTCCCTGCTCGGCGGGAAGCCTGCTTCTCCCTCTCCCACTCACTCTGCTTGTGTTCCCTCTCTTGCTGTGTCTCTCTCTGTCAAATAAATAAAATCTTTAAAAAAAAAAAAAAAGGAAGATACAATGATTATAAACGTGCATGCACCTAACAACAAAGTCCCAAAATACATGAGGCAAAATGGGATAAAACTGAAAGAAGAAATCAACAATTTAATAGTAACTATGGTTTACAATAGAGAAAAGAAGTCAAAGACTTGCTTCCAGACTGGAATGTTAGAGTGGATTGTCATTTAAGACCACCCCCAGAGGGTCCAGAGGACACAATTTTTCTCTGTGACTAGGAGAAGTGAATTTGTGGGCATGGGGGTTGGGGGGAGCCCCAGCATCCTTAAGGTGAGCTCTCTGATCACTCATCTCTGTAGGCCAGAACTTATAGTGGCAACAGTGGCCACTGAATTGGGAAACCTAA